TTACAAAAATTTTTTTTTAATGTTTACCCATTTTGGAGAGAGATAGAGAGTGTGCGTGTGTGCACATGCGAGCCAGGGAGGGGCAGAGAGAGGGGCAGACACAGAATCGGAAGCAGGCTCCAGGCTCTGAGCTGTCAACACAGAGCCTAACTCGGGGCTCGAATCCACGAACCGTGAGATCCTGACCTGAGCCGAAGTCGGACGCTCAACGGACTGAGCCACCAGGTGCCCCTATAGTCCTTTATTTAATCAAACAGCATTTCAGCAATTAATATGTCTCCAGTACCTGTATTTATCCGTCCGACTTTTTTTTTTTTTTTTTTTTTTTTAAATAATCTCTGTGCCCAACTCAGGGCTCGAACTCACCTCCCTGAGGCTAAGAGTCACATCTGCACTGACCAAACCAGCCCCTACCAACTAACTTTTATTGGGAACCTAGTATAGACACCTGTGTTTTCATTCAGCCATTTATCAAGTGCTTACTGTATACTCCTACGTTTATTCAGCAGTATTTGTCGGGAGCCTAGTATATACCCCTGTGAATGTCCAGGCAGTGTTAATCTAATGTTTTCTGTATACGTCTGTGTTTATCCAACCAACTTTGAGGAGGTGCCTACTGTATACTTCTGTATTTGCTTGACCGACACGAATGGCAAGTCCTGGAGGTACAGCCATGAACAGGGTAGACTCCGTCCCTGCCCTGTGGAGGAGAGACCCTCCTACCAAGAAATTGCAACCCAGATGGAGTAATGTCATGATGAGTCGCCGGTAATTAATTGGCCCTCACATGGCCCTCTGGGTCCCGGCCATGTGACATTGTGAACACCTGGACGAGGTCCCTGCTCAGGCCTCAGGGATCAGGGAGGAAGTGCCCGCTAAGCCACCTGGACGATGACAAGGAGGGGAGAAGAAGGGGGTTCCGGCCTGGGGCAGTGGGATGTGCCAAAGCACAGAGACAGGAACTGAAAGAAACTTAAGTCAGGTCGGGGGGCAGAGCTGGCCTCGGGCCCCGCGTTCCAAGCCCTTCGTAACAGATGTGTCCCAGCTGCCCTCCCCGGTTCTTGGCAGGATGAGGCCGTGGAACGCTGCAGCCGCCCCGAGCCGCCCCGTGAGCACTTCGGACAGAGGATCTTGGTCAAGTGTCTGTCGCTGAAGTAAGTGTGCTGGCCCACGCCTCCCTCCAGACCCGCGAGGCCCCGCGTGGGGTATGGTGCGGGCAGGCTGTTACCGAGTGCGGCCCTGGGACCCGTGAGGCCATCCGTGCGCTTTGAGGTGGGAAATGACTTCCTTTTCTCGTCATTCAAAGCCACCGGGTCCCTAAGCGCCGACTATGTGCCGGGCTGCGTTCTCAGCCCTGCACACGTACGACCTCCAGTCTTCACCACAACCTTGTGAGGTAGGCGCAGGTGGGGAAACTGAGGCACAAGGTGGAAGTCACTGTGCCCGACCGAGATCACATGACTTAGGAGGCCAGAATCTGGTACTGGCTCTGCCGGGACCCAGGCCGGAGGGGGCGCTGGTGACCCTGGACCTGACTTCTAGCTGACCGAGGCCCCCTCCACATCAGCCACCCCGGGAAGCAGCCAGAAGTGCGTGGGAATTGAGCTGAACAGGATGTGGCCTTGGACCTAAGCCCAGCACTGCCCCTCCCCACCCTGAGTTCCTGCCTGGATGGGGGCAGGAAAGGGAGGCCCTGGTGTGGCCTGAGGCCCGTCCCAAGCAGTAGGGTCGGGAACCAGCTCTTTGAATATCCAGTCATTCAACAAACACTACCTACCGTATCCAGGACCTGTAACCGTGGGATGACCATACAGGGCCCTCTGGGTGGGAGGACAGGGCACACCCGAAGGCTGGGAGATGTCTGGAGAGGGGAAAAATGAGGCCAAGAGGTGGGCGGGACGGAGCCCTGTAGGATTTTGTTTTCAGCACACTGGGGAGCCTCAGATTTTGAGGTTT